CAAGTGTACACATTGGAACATAATCATTAGCAAGATGGAAGAGGAATAGGTTGGGGGGTGACTTATTAATCATTTGCTGGCAGTTTGCAGATGATGTGAAGCTGCTGTCAGCAAAGCTGTCAAATGCTAGGTTGCATCTTAAGGGGATAGAGAGTACGTTGAAAGAAGCTGTTCTCCCGCCTGTATTGATCAATGTTGAAGCTAGGGTCTGGAATGCTTTGTATACTATTGGATGAAATATAGATTGGTACAGGCTGAGATGATAAAATAGAATGCTGTTGGGTGAGAGTTACTTACAGCAGAGAAAAAGAGGATAGGGTTGCGCAGTGAAGACTGAGGAATGTTTAGGATTTTTGTGTGATTGTTTTAGGGGTTCAAGGACCATCTACACTGAGCTTTCACTCAGGAGTTGGGGACTGTGCAGACACCCACGATGGAAGATGTTTATGTGGTCTTGGAAGGATAAATCAAATGTTCTTTTGTTTCATGCCTCATTGTGTTCTTGGATAGAGATTGATTTTTAAACTAAAAGGGTTTAACTTTGAGCAATTGTACAGATTCTACACTATTCAGGATTCCTATTAGTTTGAAATAGGGCAACAAAAGCGTGCTCCACGCCATTTCCAAAATAGAAAATGATTATGTACAAATTGCTTCTAATCTTACAACTGAGAGCACATGAAAGCTACCCACAGAGATCTTCAATAGGTTATTATTTGTTCATTGTGAACTGATTTTCGGACCGAATTGTATTCTCTTAAATTTGCCAATCACAACAAATATTGTTCAGTTTATTTTCCTGAATTGTTGCCCCATAGGAGTTCTTTGTCGCACGACCATGGAGGGATTGAGACTGGTGTATAGTTTTTAAAACAGCACAAGAGGGATTCAGAATGGTATGTGAATGTTTTCCCTCAAATGTGATCTGTGTACCACAACACAGAGGCAGCACAAAAATGGTTCTTTAGGTACATTGTAATAAACCTTAGGTGTGCGAATGTGTATATAATTTATATATGTTAAACAAAAATCAAATGAATTCAACCCGAAAAGGGCAGAAGTTGATTGTCTTTCCTACCATTTAGGCTGCTTTATTAACATTTCTCTGCGACATGTGATGGGAGACCTGATAGGGAATGGCCTGTCAAACCTTCATCACAATGTAAATCTATTGTTTGTGAGTAGTCCTATTTCAAAGTTGAGATTTAAATATTACCTAGTGGTCTATGCCAGAGTAAATCTACAAATCATCTTAAATAACATTTCATCCTCATGCTGCAAATGTATTCATCCTCCGGTAAATTTCTCGTGACTGAAGAAAATGAATGCACAGAGTAAAAGAGAACAGACTTGACATTGGTGATATTAATGATTGAGCACATTGCTCCTAAATTCAACCACTGTCAGTGATTTTTGGTTGAAAATGACTCACAGTGACAGAATCACTTTAAGAATTGGCATGAAGTGCTCATCTGTTTTCTCCTTTCCTTCAGCGCAATGTTGAGCAAGATTGTCATTATTCTCTGGCAGTCTGAATAGTTATTCAGATTCAAGTGATAGCAGAGAATCGAGAAAAGAAAGCTTGCAAGAGAGCGCGATAGTGTGATCTTATTTTGCACCATTGAAATAAAATGCATAAAGTTTGAGTATTATATTGGGGTCAGGATGAGAACAAATGAGATTCTGGTTGTATAATGATCAGGATATATTACAGCTGATTGATTGACTCTGGATATCATCACAGGACACAAAGTAATTTGCACCTTTATCAAATCTTTAGATTTCCAAATTATGGTTTTACCTTGGTGTGTCCAGAAGCATTAGAATCATCCCAACTTACATTTGATACTTCAAATCAGCTTTATTGTTCTGACTCCAGTCAGAGATTGGATCAGAGCCGCTCTAATGGCCCGGGAAATGGGTTTGGCGTACATAATGAGTGAACCCCCAAAGATAATTGAGCAAATAATTGCAGAATAATAATTCATCTCCATCTTTTAAACCTGACTTTCTCTCCACTTCCAAGAATATCCCCCCCCCCCCCCCCAGCATCACAAAAATCATTATAACCTTCTGAGATGTTTTGGTTTTAAACTTATGCTCTCCAGCTATGGTCACACAGTCAAGGTCAAATTGGCTTCCTTACATCTACCTCATTAGTCCCTCTCATCAGCATGACTGAATCGTTCAGGAGAGGAGGGTAGAAACTGGGAGAGGAAAATCAAATAAAATGTTGGGCAGCGTGTTCCAAAGGGACTTAGTGCTATTGGAGCGAGAATGCTTAGCTTCAGGAATAAATGAACAACTAATTAGCTGCACAGAGCAGCTATTCGAATACTAATGTCAGGAAGAACAATGTGATTTAAAAAAAACCTTCATGCAACATAAAGTATTTACCTGGTGACTCGACATAAATTTGCACCAATTTGAATTCTCTCAGTGTCACTTGCTACTTTATTTATCCAGGTGGTATTGAGTTTCGGAGGTTCTGTGTTGACCACTTATTTCCTAGCTTTAAGTTTTAAAAAGTTTCATGTTTAAATGGAATCAAGTTAATTTTAAGCTCTCTTCTAGGAAGTAGTTTCAGAATTGAATCAAAGATAGGGCCGATATAATTACACTTTTACTACAGCTGATGCAAAAGAAGCTTCTAAAATTTAAGACCACTGAATATTTTGTTTTTTAAAAAAAATGCATTTGGTGCTGTATGGCAGGATCTGAAAATGCTCTCAGGCAAGAACAATTTGGCACACATTGGTTCTATGAATCACTATATACACACACAACACCAGATCAGCCAAGTCGTATAATGGAAGCATTAGTTTTAGTTCTTGTTGCTCTTCCCTGAACCCTCTCAATTCCACGTCCTATTAAGTTCTGTTATATACTGTAGTAGATTAGCAAGGTCAAACACCAAACGTTATTTTTACTCTGAATAATAGACATTTCATGTGGACAGGATCATAAGGTACTCCACAGTAATAGTACTTGTTTTCTTTCGTAAGAAACAGTGAACATTCTGCACTGAATTGATTGGTATTCAGTGTATAAACATGTGATACTAAAATAATCAAGAGAAAGTTTGAAGAAGAAATCTGTGTCTGTTTTAATAGTTTAGATTTCTTTTAATCAGCTTTGTGGAACTATCAGCTGGACTGTTTGGAAGAGAGACTCTATTGGTTTTAGTAACCTGGAGTTAGGATGGCATCATTCTTTTAAATGTGCAGTACCTCTTTATGTTTTTGACAGAAGATTAAGGGAAATTAAAGGGGCCTAATTTATGCTAATCACTAAAAATCACAATTTTATAATAGGATTTTATATCAAATGGTTTTCTAAGCAGATGTTGAATTCAAACAGATTAATTTGAATATGTTTGCAAGAAACTTATTGTCTTAAGTACTCTGATTTATAAAAATATATGGAAACTGGATTAGAATAATCATTGATATGAAAATTAAAGAACTGAATCACTTTATAAAATTCATAAATCCTATATCTTCTAACAAATAATTCAGTTAGTAGCTCTTTCTGTAGGACATAATGATTGTTAAATATGTTTAATTTTGCCAATGAACCTATAGAAGGATTTACTAGTTAATCTCTACCAAAGAAGGTAATTTCTTTTTGAAAGTTGGATTTGATAGATAATCTCTTTTGCTGTCAATTTACCATTTTGTTGACATTAGATCAAACTATAATTTTTTAAAGAATATGAAGATGGTTATATAACAATTATATATAAATAAATTAATTCAGCATATATTGTAAAACTGGTTCATTTCATCATCAGTAAACTGAAGTACTGTATCACTAAAGACCCATGTTTGTGTTATTCAGTATATTATAATCTATTTTACTCCAGTAAGATTAGATCCATCTGTTCTCTGTAAAATCTAATCAGAGTTTGTTTGGACTAATATCTTATAAATAGATTTCTCAAATAAATCATCCTTAGTTCATAATTAATTCAAGGATGCCTGCCTCAAAGTTTTTAACATTCAGCTACAATTTGGGTTGAAACATTGCATTGCCGATTTACAATCGTTCTGTGGTAACATCCTGTCAATTTTGCTAAACATAGAAGCAAACAACAGGGGGTATTTGTAGTTGTAGATTGCTCAACATTGCTTCTAAGCCATTTAACCAGCACTAATCTATACCAAGGATTTAAACAGATTGCCCTACAATTATTATGAATCCATATCCAGCCCATCACCAGGACTCCAATACATTCACCTTTATACCCTTATCTCATCGCCGCCAACACTGCTGAAATGCCTTTACCCTTCACATAGTTCAACTAATCCACCACACCATGGTCCAAGTCTGGACTCACCCTCTCATCATTTTGTCCAAGGGGTTGTGTTCTTTCAGGAATGTTTTAATCTGTTTTTCAAGTCCTTCCACTATATTTCACCTATATTCAGTCTTCTCCAAATCTATGCACCGTTGTGCGCAATTGGCTGCCACGTTTCACCCACAAAATACGCAGTCGCTACACTTTACAGTGTATTCTGTGAAGCTTTCAGATGTCTCTATGAAGTGATAAGCCGCTATATCAAATGCGAGGATTATTACATTACAAGTTTCAGTTGATTTTAGCTTTACTGAACCATGTTATTCTCACACATATTTTTGGTTTAAGCAAACAGTGATGCAGTTTTGTGAATTAGGATTGTAGTACTGTACATTGTCGGATGAGGAATCAGGTAATAAAACAGAGAAGGTACAATTTACTGCACTTAATACACCACAATTATCATTTATATTGACAATTGGATGTTTGACCTCCGCCGTATTGGAGACTTCTGCATTCTCTATTGGTTGTGGCCTCATGTAAATCCATGCCAGCTTCGGACTTCAGAGGCAGAACGTCTAAAATGCTTGCTGAATTCTATTTGTTTTAACTGTTTTATCCCTTCCAATGCACCTGGACTCAGTGTAAGCTCGGCAAAGGATGAAGCACACAAATGACGGTGCAATTTCTGTTGTTTCAGGTGAAATCTGTGCTTTTAAAATCCACGGCCAGGGCGTGCCATTTGAAGCGGTGGTTTTAAACAGGACATCTGGGGAAGGCGTTTTGAGAGCAAAAAGTCCTATCGACTGTGAACTTCAGAAAGAATATACTTTCATCATCCAAGCATATGACTGTGGAGCTGGACCTACTGGAACCTATTCGAAAAAATCCCACAAGTAAGAACCCAACTCCCATCTAACACTGAAAATGAATTGTTAATCAAGTACTGTGTTATTCGATTGACATCATAACATATGATAGCGGCTGATGGAATTAAAGTCCATTTGGAAGATCATCTTAAAATCTAACGCTATTCATTTGAAAAGAGTAGAAATTATCATTAATAATAATCCTTGCATTTGATATAGAGCCTTATCATGTCTTTGAGACATCTCAAAATGCTTGACAGAATACAGTGTAAAGTGAATTGACTGTATATTTTGTGGGCGAAACGCAGCAGCCAATGCGCAGAATGATTAAAAAATTTTAAATTGTATTAGCTGTTCTTTTCAATTTTAAAATCTTACAATGGATTCCATTAAACAGAATTTTTTCCACACCCGGATATGGATTTTTTATTTGCAAATGAACAGCTTTTTTTTTAAAGAAAACAATGGGAATTTAAATCAAAAGAAATGTTTTCCTAGCAGATACTGTTAACTCCCTAAAAGCTTTTTATTCAGCCTTCCTACAGTACTAAGATAACCTCAAAGAAGTCCTCCTCAAATAGCTCCTCATCACAAATAGCTCCTCATCATGTCTTCGAGACGTCTTAAAGCACTTCACTGGATTCATGATATACTGTAAAGTATAGAGACTGTATACTAGTGAGCAACACCATCTGTCAAGTCAAATGGTTAGGAAGAATTCTATTTTAAATTCAGTATATTTTCATTTTATTTTTGTCTCTGTCGCCTGAATGACGGGTGATGTTGACGTCAATCGTAATGACATGGTAGCAGAGAATAAGAGATCTAATTTGATGTGCATCTGAAGGTAAAGCACCATTGAATTAATGATCATTTTTGTTTACATTAATTCAGCTGCTCAATTGATCTCAGTAATTCTAGCTTGTACTCAATGATGCTTAAAAATATATTTTAAATAAGAAAACAGCAGAAGCTTATCAACAATAACTACTTGGCTTAACAATAATCCTTATTATTATTAACAGCAGAAGGTTATCAACAAAACTATTTGACTTGTAACTAGGGTGCTGACATGACTTGCTTTTTAGGGTGAAAAAGAGTTACGCAGGTTAACTTAGAAACAAGCAACATCTTTCATAGTTAACCACAGAGATCTTTTAGGTTTTGGGCTAATATTTTCCCCTTTCTCCTTTTACTTGGTTCATCTGTTTCCCATGTGTGGGATCTTCATTGAGGAATATTATTAACAGCTTAACATTTGAAAAAGTTAGCCTACAGCAGGGAGGAAATCTATGAGTAATTACCTATAGTGCATCACGTTTCTGTATACTATGTCCACATTTTTTTGTGTGTGTGTGAGAGTACAGAACAAATGATCTTGTACTGGAAGCCTTAAACAAGCATTTTGTCTTTTCTGTCTTCAGGGCAGTGGTGCACATTCAAGTGAATGACATGAATGAATATACCCCGGTGTTTAAAGAGACTGTGTACAAAGGTGCGATCACAGAAGGGAAGCTGTATGACAGCATTGTGCAAGTGGAAGCAGTGGATGAAGATTGCTCTCCTCTTTACAACCAGATCTGCAACTACAAGATAGTGACACCTGACACACCATTTGCCGTTGACAGGAATGGTAACGTTTTAATGAATGAAAATGCATTGTAGCGTATTCCTAATGTGTTAGAATTCAAGGATCATTTCTCCAACATCAAATGTTCCACTTGCAATTAAAATAAGACTTGGAATTATGTTATTCGCCTACAATTTAAAAATGTATCTTTTTTTCTTCTCTTGCTTCCTATCTTCCTCCATGGCCACACACCTTGACTGAGTGGGTGACCGAGTGAAGCTTTCTCCTTTATTGATCTTGAGCCAGTAGAAGGCTTAAGGACTGCCTGTCTCCTCTCCCACTTTCTGTCTGACTCCTCTCCCAGCATCTGCCTAATACACCTCTCCCAGCAGATATGGTTGAAAATGTGGACACGTAATGTGGGAAGTTGGAAACTCCATCACACAACTTCCCAGTCTATGGCTCTCAAAATATGAACAGGCAGGGTATCTTTTTTTTCTGACAAAGGGTAACGAGGTCCCAGAAACGTGAAAAGGATAAGATTGTTCAAAGCTTTAGGTGAGAAAGGAAATGACAAACTGGGTAAACTCAGGGACTTGGGAACACATAAGATGGAGGATCTTAGGGGAATAGAACAGATAGGAGAGGACATATATGGATTTGAAGGGGGTGGAGAAATCTTGCCTCACTGAGTTTCCAAATTGTCAGCCAAATCTTCACAACAAATGTTTTTTGACACCTCAAAGCGAAGTAATGCTTAACTGGAATCTGGAGACGAATTTAACTAATCTTATCAACCTGCTGTGTGTGTGTGAAAGAGAAAGAAAACATGTTCATTTGGGAAAATGCTACTCTTAGGATACATTGGAGCCAAGAGATACATTAATAATAAACCTAAATTAGACCATGTGAGTGAAATGTCCGGAGTATTAATCCATTTGTAACAAAAAACATTAATTGAAATAAAAAGCAGACATCTATGAATTGTATCATAATATCCACTTGCCTTGACAAAATAAAAACTTTTTTTTTGATTGTCAGGTAACATTAGGAACACGGAGAAACTGAGCTATGACACGGAGCACCAGTATAAATTTCTGGTTACAGCATTCGACTGCGGCCAAAAGAAAGCAACCGAAGATGTATTAGTTCACATTGAAATTAAGCCAGTCTGCAAGCCAGGCTGGCAAGGTAAGAATTTTGATGTACAGATGGAAATAAAATCTGAATTCTGAAAATCCCAACTTAAATAAAGAAGAATTAAAGGGTTTTCAAACCTGAAACTCAAGTCTTTCTTTGCTTAACTGTCAACTTAGTTTTGTGCTCCGTTGATGGGGATTTCATTTATTGATCATAAATTACTGGGTCCAAGCCCCTAGTGAACAATTGAGTTTATTGCGTTACAATACCTGGGAGTGCAATATTGTTGGAGGTAATATTTTGGATGAGTTGTTAAAGACCAAGAACCTGCTTGGCTATTCATAGGAACAGTAAAAATCCCTTGACATTATTCAAAAGGAGAAGAGACTTTCTGCCAATATCCTAACCAACAATCCTCTGATTGGGTATTTGCCGAAAGGTGTATGTGGGACTTTGCTGATGTAAATGTAAATGGCTTGCAAAAACAATGGCTGTACTTGTCAGCATCTAGCTCCAAGGAAGATTGAGACATTTTGACATGATAAGGTGCTATAGAAAATGTTCCTTTTTCAGCTTCTGATTGGCCTGATCCAGCCTTTCCAGCAGTTTTCAGTTGTCATTTAAGGTTTTTAATGTGTGTTTTTCGCAACTGCATTCCGAACTGTACTTCAGTAGCATGTTCTTGGCAGCTGTATAGAGGTGTACCATCAAGATTAGACATTGTATTTCTACTGGAACAATGCCATAATATCAAAAAGACATCACAAAATACTCTCAAATGATTGAGTTACAAAGACCTCGTTGGAGGCATCTTCCCTTACCTAAACATTGGTTGGAAAATCAAATCTAGAAATCCAGTGATGTGATTAATCTCTCGAGCCCAAACCCCCATCGTTCATGATTTATCAGAGCAACTTCACTGAGAGACAGCTCCATCACATCGCTACCCATGATAGATGTCCCTACTATGTTGTGCAGATGTTTTATTTTTTACACGCTTGGTCTCTGATACCATGCAAAGCTAATCCAGATGTGGTGAGACAGTGCATCAAATTTAGTTTTGCATTCTTTTTGTTCATTGAATTGCGCAGTATTTGGGGGGGCTCGCATTGAAAGGGCAATGGGAGCTCCCTTGACGACCCAATTAGTTGAGAATTGGGTCAACCTTGGCTGTTGCACCTACAATCGAACAGTCTTCCGACGCATGAAGTAAGGATAGTTAGAAGAGATATTGGCGGGGGGTACTCAACACCTATGAATGTGTTCCGCAGCAAAAAAACTGCACCTTCAGAGGAGAAAATTGACTGAGGGATTGGAGAGTTGCTATGTGGAAAGATGTGATTCACTGCAGAAGCTTTGGCAGCCGTGCGCACTTAGCTACAGAGCTCAAAGCATTTGATCCACATGAATTACTTTTCAATGACACATGTGGGGCAGATGGAAATTAAAATATTAATGCAACATTAACAATTCACTAGCAATAATCCACCAAATTCCTTTAGTGCATCTTTAGAAAGGAGAACCATGTCCATGGGATGAATAGAAGAAAAACAGAAAGTTAGAGCTCCCAGTGTTTTTCATGCATCACTATTGACCTTTTACCCTCCACTAAAATAGAAGAGAATATGATTTTAGTTTATTTGTGGAAAAGCAAGTGAGCCGTCCTACATTTTGTCAGTGGTTTAACAGCTGTTATATGTAGAGAGCTTTGTCAGTTGCTTAGTTGCTCGCCTTAGATTTTTGTCAACTAGCAATACTTAACTTGCAAAATTAATGTTTGATTTTTTAGTAATACCGTATTAATGCTGTGGGATTAGTCTGCTATTCAGAGACATATTCAAATGTTGCTTGATTTTACTCAACTTGGAGAAGGGAAAAAAAAGTCATAGGTTTTTGCTTCTCCTTTCAGGCTGGAATAAGAGAATGGAGTACGAGTCTGGTTCTGGGAGCAAAGCCTTATTTACCAACATTCACCTGGAGACCTGTGATGAGCCCGTTTCCTCTATCCAGGCGGCAATAGAGCTTCAGACAAACCATATCGGAAAGGGCTGTGACCGTGATACTTACTCTGAGAAATCCTTGCAAAAAATGTGTGGTATGTGACGATACATTGTTATTTCATTTACAGTGAAACTCTTTCTATTCAGGTGACTTTGACACCAAATGAGCTATTCCTCCTATTTTGAGCAACGGTGTAAATTTCAAGTTTTTGGAGATGATTGTCAGGCCATTCTTTGCATGTTCACTTATTTTGTATTAGTGTAACAATGTGGTCTACAGGGAGCTGAATGTTGGCACTTTGGAACAGAATGTTGTACACATTTCATGTCGAGAAGACATCTTAAAGCATTTAATACCGTTGATTGGGCACTTGAACTTGCCAAATAACCTTATTCAACATTATTTTTGCCAATGTGAATAACAGTCATAGAAATCAGTTATAATATTTAAAGTTATTTGTTTTGTATTAATAAATATTTTAAAAGAATAATTCATGAAAATTTGGAATAAAAATGTTTTAGTATTTCATAGGGGGAAAACCTTCAGGCAAAATTGTAATCATTGAATGGCTGATTGCTTCAGATGGTTGGAATAATTTTTGTTTAATAATTCCGCTTTCTTCTGTCCCATTTAATATCTCCTGTTTTTTTTCCATTTAATAAATCAAACTCAAAACTGTCCTTTGTGATAAATAGCATCATAGTTATTTTCTTCCTCAATCCGCACTATATGAATTTAATTTCACATCTAGTTGGCCTTGCTTCTTATCACATTGTTCTAGTGAAAGAACTATAGACAGTAACATATGATGTGTGTTATGTGTTATTTGGGCAAGTTTCCTTACTCCACACGCCTAATAATAATCCCTCCAAAACAAAACAATAATAAATTGGTCATTTTCAATCCACGACTGTTTGTGGGACACTGCTGTGTGCAATTGGCTGCTGCGTGTCGTCCACAAATATACAGTCAATTCACTTTACAGCATATTCTGTGAAGCGCTTTGAGACGTCTAAAAGACGTGAAAAGCGCTATATCAAATGCAAGGATTATTATTATTATTTAGTTTTGGATAGCAGAGTGCAAAATGTGGGGGTCGGGTTGCCATTTGACAATGGCCAATATAAGCTTTCCAGGGGGTTATATGGGTGATCTCACAGGCAATGCAAATTGCACATGATTTATCAAATGGATCTGTAATGCACACCCTATTGTCCTCCTGTTACAACATTAAGCTGTTTCTTTAAAGAAAGTCCTGAAAGTACCTTAAAGAAAGTACCATCCTTTCTGGTAACCTGTTCAAATTTTAATTACCCTCTGTGTAATATTTTCTGCTGTTCTGTCCTGAAATTGCTCTTTGCAACCCTGAATTTCTGCCACTTGTTCTGCTGCCTAAACAATAACAACAACTTGCATTAAGCATGTATTAAGTAAGCAACTTGCATTAACTTGCCTACATGGGGAAGAGCTGATGCTAAATTCGATTCTTCAAAGGGAATATATCTTATCGTTTAAAAAAAGTAATTTATTATTTACTAGTGTGCAATTCCTTGCGGTCTTTTGTACTTTTCCAAACGATCAAAATTGTTGCGCACAACATTTTCAATATAATTACCGAAAATACTTAATTACTGACACACAAATTAAAGTTCTTGATACAAGGAAGTGGTAAATACAAAATGATGCAGAAAAATAAGGTCATTATTTTTCCAGAAAGTTTCATGAATTGATAATAAAATGTTCCTATTCAACAAAGGGTTGCAGCTAAGTTGCAACTACCTCCCTTCTCCCGCTCCCATTGATTTCTACAGGTCTAGTCAAAGAACTCTTTTTATAGCAAAGCTTGACATTTTTGTCGCATCTTTCAATGCTTCTCATCGCTATCCAAATGTGATCAAAGGACACTTTCTCAATTATGAAAACGCACTGAAGAGTACATTGAAAGGTTTGTCAAAAGGTACCAAGGCTGTGGAACTAAGAGGAAAATAGTTTCCTAACATACAGTTTAGTTTTATCAAATGAAAGCGAAAGCATCTTTAACTGATCTGCAATCTTTCTTGATGTTATCCTGCACAGAAAGCTAATTTGATTTATAAAACATAATCTTTCTCTTTGATTCTTGTTCCCAACATGCTTCAAGTTCTCGATGTGATTATTTCAGTGAAAGAGCATCCTGAAGTGCGGTGACATAAGACGTGGCCTTTGCTGAAGAGCCCCAGTTCATCGCAGGTTTCTTGTCAGACTTGTGAATCCAGCTTGGTTTGCAAAATTGTTAGACTCAATGGCTCAGTGTCAACCTCAGGCAAGGTTGTGATGGGTTGCAGGTTGAATTGTCTACCAAAATACCCTGTTCAGACTCAACCAGGAAGAATGCACGATTGAGCAAATCACTGGAGTGCCGTGAAGAGAGAAAAGCAGAACACTGGATTATTTTTTAGTAGAGAAAGAACACAATGGAATAAAAAGTTGTTATGTACATATTACTACATGTTACTATGGTCCAGAATATCCTGTGTGCAGTTACAGCCCAATTATTGCCGATAACAACATGGGAGTTAAATTTGTGACATTTCAACACAATCAATGTGATTTTCACACCAAAACACCTCCCATAAGAATAACAAATTTGCTTAGTTTCACAAGCTTAAGAATGATGGTTGACTACAATAATTTTCTGGACTTCTGTAATAGATAGCTCTTTGCACTGTTGTTCTGGTGTAAGTGTATAGTAATGCTGTGTATCATTTTGCATTCATTAATCTAATAGTTTTTTGGAGGTGTCAACCAGGTGTCTGACATGTACGGAAACCCACCACCATGATTAAGTGTATCCAAACCAAGCTGAGATTTCCATTCATCCATGTACACATGGAAATCCCAGCGATAGATTGCTGGAATGGAATGCGCACACTCTCCCTGTTGGGATGCATTCTGCCTACCTACGTCTGAAAGTATTAGGCGCAGGTTGGCAAGAGCCAAGGCCTGGGCGTCCCAGAGTTTGTGTTGGGGTAACTGCTGGAGTCTAACCAGCTAAAACCGCATAGCTTGCTATTAATATCGCTGTCTGGCAAGCTTTCCTGCTGCTTGTCCAGCTGGGACTACCCTACCCATTAGGGCTTTGGCTTGCAAAGTTAAGAGGAGCTGAGTGGGATGAATCCCTGCACCCAGTGACTGGTCTGCCCTTCCGGATCCTGCCGATGAGCCAGGCTGGGCTGTGTAGCTGGATTCCGTAGTGCTCTGCAATCTCACCATTTAAATTGTAGGCACTTGACTAATTGGAAGGTAAACCCATTTGACTTCAAATTAACGTCTGAATGTAAGTGAAATTGATTTCCTTCGTTTTGTTCATTCTGCAGGCGCGTCTTCTGAAAGCATTGACTTGCTCCCTGCTCCATTTGGTTTGTCAAATTGGACTACTGGGTTGCTGACAGATAATGGGCACGATAGCGACCTGATCTTCAGGTTTGACGGCAAACACGCAGCAAAGATTCCCGATGGGGTGATGCCCAAGAATCTCTCCAATCATTTTACCATCACGACATGGATGAGGCACGGGCCTAGCCCAGGACTAAGAGTGGAAAAGGAAACCATTCTCTGCAACTCTGATAAAACAGGTAGGGATAATGCAATGTATGATCCGCAGCACTTGCAATTATGGGATGAATCTATCGTGATCCTGTAAATTGATATTGAGTCACACTTGTAGAAACGAATGGATGTCAGATTCAGCCCACATCTGACTACTTTCTAGAGTCCCATTTGCTGCTATAATCTGCTTGTGGTCTGAATCACCCATTCTCATGCTGGAGCACATGAGGAGGAATGCCAGACTAAACTAAAAGTAGATGGTTAACCCATTCTATCCATTACCAACAGATGAGTTCCTCCCATCTCTTACATCCTCCCTTTCCTATGTCTTACATCTCCTTATCTTAACAATTACACCCCCTTTCCCATCTCCTATACTCCCATTCTTCCCCCCCCTCTCCTGTCTTCACTTCTCAATTTGTTTATCAGTGCACCCTTGTTTTACATGTACACAGCGTACATTTACCATTACAAAATGTATTTCAATCTGTAAAATTTATTTTCTCTCTGAACATAATTTCTGTTCTCCAGAGATTTTTTTTAAATAATTGAAAATCAGCAGCTCAGTGTGATAATATATACCAACGGCATCAGACAGAATTGGTTTGTTGAGTGTGGTTTTAATATACATTTGTGTTGGTAGAGTGACACTAAGGAACACAAACTGCATTATAACACGTACAATCATGACAGCTGATAGCGTGCATTAAAGATTGAGGTGAAGAAAGTCCTCACCCATTGTTAATGTGCTTCATCTCTTCCAATTTTTTTAACAGCCTGTTGTATTGTATTTGTATTTGTATTTAATGAACAGGCAATGTTTTCATTTTCCAAAATGAAGCATCAGATTGAAGGTGTCACCTATCGTAAATTAAAAGCATAAATCTCCATTATTTTATATTTGTTAAAAAAAAGTAGTGCACACTTTCCCAAATGCATTGCAAGCTGATTATGGCTTCTATTTTCTCCAAATCCCAACTTCCAAAAGCTAAGAAAAGGTTTGTCCTCTTGCATTGAATTATGTTTAATAGTCTTTGTAGAAATATTAGATTATTTATCGTAATTAATTCGAAATGATACCATTAAGCAAACTCCTATGGTATTTTTAATTGAGGTAATCCGAAGGATTCAACAGAAAGGGAATATCAGTCACAATATGATGGATTCAACAATGCAGGCAACTGACTATTTCCATTTTTGTCTATTTAGAAATGAATCGCCATCATTATGCGCTGTACGTCCACAACTGCCGCTTAGTGTTCTTGCTTCGTAGAGATTTCGACCAGATTGACACTTTCCGACCAGCTGAGTTTCATTGGAAACTAGAGCAGGTGAGCTATTGATTGGCTATCCGTGTCTAGGGAGGAAAGCGAGATAGCTGTAGACCATTTGGAATCCTGCAGAACAAATGATTTTAATCATAAAAAGACCTTGAAATGTTGAGAAGCGGTCATATCGTTTTTTTGTGCAGAATCGTCTCTTTTGTGCAGAACATCAGGCAAGATTTCTAAACAGAAAGTGTTTGAGATACATGATCCAATATTCTTGAACATATTAATTACGTACACTACTTCATGAATGTTTAAAGGGTATTTTACAGTCAATATTCCCTTTTGAAATCACTGATTAACAATTTGGAGCAGAAACTTCTCTTCCTAACTGAGAATATTGAAGTCTGTTGTTATCATTTCCACTGCCACCGTGCTTGATATCCGCTAACTCAGCTCAAACCACAGATCAATTGGCATCACAGGTCTCTAAGGTTCAGCATCCTATCATGAATTGCATTTTCCCAGTGAGCTTTCTGTCAGAGTTCAGATTAGAAACCGAGTCCCAGACGTGAAAGGATAGCGCAATCCAGAGCTTTCTTTTATATTTATTTAAAATACGCTTAACTTTTGCCAAGCCTTTATTTTTGCTTATAATACTCTGTTATATTGTCCCCCCTTTTAATCTAGCACGGTATATAACATAACCCATCCAAACCAGTGCACTGTGCACCAGATCTTTACCTGAGCCATGCGGTATATTCAGTCAACCTTCCTCATCACTTCTGTGATATGGTGGCTTTGGCCTTTCACCACCTTTTGACTCAGCTCATGAGTTTAATATGTCTAGAATAATGGATGTGACACTGTTCCCCATTCAATGGCCCAACAGTTTGTCGCTCTACTCTCTGGTAGCAAGCAACAGCCTTTCCTTTAAATTGGATTCTGCAATTAAATCAGTGGGACAACATTACTCTGCTAATAATTACTTTATGGATCCCCAGTGAGAATTTTCAAAGCATGTGGACAGAAGCACTTTGAATAAAAAGCAGCAGACTGAAGATTTCATTAATGCAGGAATGTAAAGTAACATCTTATGTCAGCCTACATTTCAGCATTTTGATTACCATCATTTTGTTTACTTCTGAAATAATTGCTTTATATGCTTGTTTTCTTGGCTCAGATTTATCTACTGCAGACCCTTTGCTGTGTGCTCCTGCCTCAGGCTAGGCTATGCACTCAAACACAACACCAGGATTGTTACTTTACATTTATAAGCTTTACAGATAAAGCTGTAATCATTATTTCACCGTGTCTTACAACGTTTTACTAATGGCCATTTGTTGAGTATTTATGCATGAAAACGATTGATTGCATTTACATATCGGCGGTTTTGGAAAGGTCTTGTAACTAGTATGATACATAAAATATCACCTTGCACGGTTTTGTTTAGGCCAATATTTTCTCTCATTTGCTTGCCTATTTTTTTTTCCTGAGGACTTGCTGGGAATACAGGGAGATGCACAGCCAGTCCAAGTATAGATATGATGAGCCAAATAACCTCCTTCTGTGCCTTAAACGTTGTGTGTCAGTCTATGATAAAGCGCAGTTTCACCTTTGTTTTCAGACTGAGGATTAGATTCACTGCCAAAAAGTTGTTTCATGCTGTTCAATTGGGGGTGGCTGGTAGGCTGGTTCTTGACTCACAACATGAGAGGGATTGTATTTAATTTGTTACTATTGTGGATTAATTTGGCAGGTGGCAGTGTAAGGGTATTGCCAATTTCCCTGGTAATGAATGGTTGCCGATTCATAGTTTGTGCACGCGCCACATTTGGCTGAGACGTATCCTCAGTTTATAGCTATTGAAATAGTCGTTTATTGTGGCTGTCAGAAAATATTTAGATTTTTGATTCACATTGGTTCCCTCTCTGATAACAATTCAGATTTAGAATTAGATACAAACCGGCACCTTGCAGTGTCTTGCTCTTCCTGTATTAGCAGCGAGGGTGATATGGTCAGGCACAGTTTTCTGGGTAACAGCTGTCTTAGTTTTCCAGGACTAGGAAAACTAGAAAACTAGAGAACTGTGGTTCTCCAGGACTAGGCTGCGTCCCACCCGTCCACCCACACACACACACACACTGATTTTCTTCTGTTCACTGCCACCATCTCGAGGAGATGGACCAATTTACTACTGTGAAGTGCTCCTTCTTGTGGCCAACTGAAAGCACGCAAGTCAATCAACAAGGAGCGAATAGAATGAGTGACAGCTCTTTCAGGGCTGAACTGGCATTTATACTGAAAATCACTTCATTTTGCAAATTTTGAGTTATTAAGCGAAATATATTTTAAAAAAATGTGTGTGCTGCAATAACACTTTCATATGCACTATCCTTTCACTCTTGAGCATAGCAAGTGGCGTTTTGCAAATTTAATACAGGATTTAAATTTTCTTTGGATATCCTATAAATAGAGACTTGATATCCCATGCGTGCCATTTCCCTTTGTTCAGTAATAAGCAGCAGAATCCTTTTTGCTTTTGTTATGGAGGAGCAAACCAATGTGCAATGTAAAACTATCAGCAATTCAAATGCACTCTTAACTCAAAGACTCAATCTGCTGAAAAAAAATTGCAGTTAATTAATAACAAAATATATTAGTCAATGTAATGAGTGAAAATCACCATTTTAATTTCCCATAATTTTTCCAAACATGGTCCAATTTCTGATTTGGATTTTTTTNCTCTAATTCTGGTCCGATGCTTTTATGGGCATTTTTGTCTTTTTGTGGCAACAAATTCTATATATGTTTGAGAAGGAAGACACCGATGATTTACAGCATGATTATGAAATGGTAATAATAGCTGGATTAATAAAAGAATAGTGCAAAAAACAGAATCTCAGGGGAAATGCTGCATGATTTTGCAGGACTGTAAATTAATCAAATTCAGGCAGTTGTAGGTATAGACTGGAGTAAGATTCCGAGTATTAAACTGTGTGGAATCAGGGATCTAATTAGTCAATTTCAGCTTGGACGACTGGGGCCTGGGAGATTAAAATCACTGTGCAGTTCACATGCTCCTCACAACGAAATGGATGAACTGCTTTGTCAAAGCCATTCAGGATAATGCAGAATTTGTTGCTCGTATTTATTTGACCTAAAAAGCATAAATTTAGCTCTGTCCCCAAGAATAAAACACCACTAAAAAGTATGCTTACAACTCAAAATGTTTAACGTAAACGCGAACAAAAATGAAGTGCTTGAATTTGTTGAATCTAGCTTTGTGGGCATTTCGAAAGTTATGTTAAATGCAATAAAGATAATTACTAGCAACCGCTTCACCGGATTATAGGGTGAAAGTTCATCCTGATAAAGAGATCCTTTCATTTTCTCAGAGCAATCTTGTCATTTAATTACTTTGTGAATGAGGCATCAAAGCAAACTCACTGTGGGGAGATATGCATAAATAACACTAGAATTAAATGAAGGCTTCAAATTTAGTGTGCGCTTTTCTTCCATAGATCACTGTGAAAATGGGAACATTTACCTGTGATACGCTGAATTTTTAAATTTCATTTCCACAAAGATGAAATTCAAGAAATAACAATTCGGAGGAAGATTTTTATATGGGTACTTGGTATGTGTTGTGCCAACAACAACAACTCACACTTCTAATAGTGCTTTCTACACAGGGTAGCATCACAGAGCCCTGGGTAGGAGTCACTTAACAGTGGCGGAGCCTGACTCCAAACGTACATATTAAATCCTAAAAAAAATTTTGCAAAAAGAGAAGAAAAATATCCAAGGGACTATCGAGGGCTTTGTGCCAAGGAACCAGACTGTTAACATGACAATCATGCAGCTAGCTACTTTGCCTGGATAATGTCAATGCAGTTTTATACCTCACTGGGAATTCTACACGAAAAAGGCAGTCAGTCAGACAACTTTGAAAAAGTAGACTCTAAAGTATGGATTGGTTAATTTAGGTGAAGACATTTAGAAATTTATGTTTTTTTTACACACATCAGAAGCATTCTTTCAACATTGATGCCAGAGCGAGAAGATGTATCAGTATATATATTAAAATACATACTTACAATGTCCTGAATATCCAATGTGAGATCAGGATGCACAGGAGAATATGATGGTGAGCACGTTCCACGAATCCAGAGGTACCATCATTAGCAAGCGTTGTATAGTGACTGTGCGCATCTCCATAGGGAGGGCAAATCAGATACAGAATCACTTAAAACACGTAATTCCTAACAGCTGCTTCCACAGTAGCATTTACAGGTTGTATTCAAGACATCTGTCTGAATCTACGTGCTGGGTGAGACCTAAAGGGGCAACAACATTTTGAGGGGAAAATGTAGCTTATTTGGGGAGCTTCTTCAATCATCTGACTTGTATCAGTGGAGCAGATAAGCTGTATTCTGTTACTTTAATTCATTTCTTTCCTTGATCTCAAGTCTGTTGGTCTTCCAATTTTCCAAACTTCAGTTTCTCCTACAAATCTACAGTTTGTTGAAACTCGAGCCTGGTTTCACCTCATCTTTCAATTGTTTGTGGGGGAGGGAGAGATTTTCAACCTCCATTTCTCTCCCTTCATCTCCTAGGGGCACGAGGTGTATCTCCTGTTTACTAGGTGGCAATGGCTGTTAAAATATTTTCGATAGTACGATGTTCAAATACAGCTTGCAGTCAGGAAGATAGATTACTCCAAGTATCACAATAAACAAGGATTCCATTTTTATCAAATATTTATCTTGTTTGTGTGGGCCACACTGATGCGTATTTAAATGGGGCTAAATGCTTTTGTGTTTTTTTAATGAGCTGACATGTATTGATTGATTGTCCATTTTGTGAGGCAGACATTGTGAACATGACTGTTTGACTGAAGCTCAGACACTGCCGTGGTGAATGCATTTCTCTTGAAAACAGTAATTCCAATTTTAATAACCTGCTGCAAAAGGAACAAAAATGTAGGAGGATTAGCAAGTTCTATTGATTCCAACCTTGTTACATTTTCAAATTAGCCTCCTGAGTGTAGATTAATGGACACTCTTGTCACGTTTAGCTGTAAGCTGTCTCTTAGTGTATGTCCTTCAAGTGACAGTGAGACGAAAAGTGTACAACACATAATTACTAGTTGAATGTAATGCAGAAACTAGCCTTCAGTTGAGATGTCCTTCATCTCCTTTCAGGCATTACTCTTGGGTTTCTTTCAACATGTTAGCCTGAGGCTCTATCACCTTTCAGGCCATCAGTTGTAAAATGCATTGCTCAGATCAGAGACCATACAACGGATGTACAGCACTCGTCATTCAATATTATCCAAAGAAAATTACATATCAGTAAAATGTTGCTTGGTTCAAAGCATAGAATTACTTAGATTACAGCACTGAAACAGGCCATTCAGCCCAACTATTGTGTGCCAGTGTTTATATTCCACATGAGCCTTCTCATCCCTTCTGCCGGTCCCCTTCCCCTCTGTCTAATCCATCTATCGGGCCAGTCTCTGTTGGTGTGTGATTTGTCAACAAGTAAGGGAACAAAATTTGACTATGGTATATCTCAAATCCATTCCTTCTTTCCCCATAGAACGAAATGGTCCACCTCTGGAATCTTAGGTGTTCAAATTCTTGGTTCTATAATTAAGTCATTTTACAAACACAGCAGCTCATTGCTTGCTTCTTTTGTCACTCGTACAGTTCCAAACATTTCCTAATTACACATTTTCAAATCAGAGTAAAAGGATTCTGTTGTAAAAAAAAAGTTAATCCTGTAGGCATGCTTTATTCCTTAGAAATTCTGTCATGTAAAGTAAGTAATCTTTCATCTGTATACCCACAGGAAATAATAACAAATCTTTTCCCTTTTCAACACTTCCATTGTAATTTCCTACAGCTTTGGGAGCTTGTACAAGCCATAGCGATCTCAGGGGTATTCTTTTACATACTTAGTGTTCTAACATTGTGGCAAATCTTGCTATGCCACCTTGTTGGTCTCGTCTCGCTCTGACATTAAAACAGAGTTATGAAAAGAAAATTGAATGTCAGATGGTATCAAACTGAGGGGCTTTGTTCCTTGAGCGACAAACGAATGTAGGAAATAATCAGAGAATTACATCTTTTGTTGAACTTTTTGCTCTCTTGGTGACGGTGTCGTTTTGTGAAGGAATGTACTGTTTTTACAACCAGGAATTGTAGGCACTGATGGGCAAATAATTCAAATCATGTGCAAATATAGGAGCTCCCTGGCTGAGCTGTAAAACGGGTGTAACTACTGTACTACTGTAGGCATTTTAAAAAACAATGTAAGAGATTCAGGAGCCCACAAACTCCCTTGGCAATTTTTCTCAGTTTCCAACAAGGTGATAAATAACAGCTTTGAATGTAAGAGTTTTTTTTCACCCAAATGACATTAAATATACGTTGTGTTAGATATAGTCCTGATTGTTTTCACTGCTTTATTTCTTCACCATTCACTGGCACTGTTCATGGATCTCAGAATTGGAGAAGCACAGCTCCCCTTCGTATTAAATAATTAATGAAGTACCCTTGGAGCAGAAATGAAATGCATACTTTTTGGGGGCTTGTTGCAATTCTTTTGCAAGTAGGATTTATAAGGTTGCGTTTTGAAAATTTACAATTCAAATAATTTCCTTATTATATTATAGGCACAATGGGGCAATAGCTTGCTGTTTCCTTTGTGTGAACAGCCAGAGCAATAGGAAGTAAACAGTTGGTGCCACAGTTATCTTTCCTGAATCAGTTCACTGTATGAAATTGGTGTAATGGTACTCCAACATGCAGGCTAATACCCTATTTAACTGCCTCTGAAGACAGGCAAATCTATCATGACAAAGGGAGTTCCTTCCAAAGGGAGTTCCTTCTTCCTGAGGTGGCTTTTTTGGTCTTCATCTCACCTCGAGGGACAACAACAACCGACTTGACAAGGTTAAACTTTACTGCTATGTTTTTGGCCACCATGTTTCCTATGTGGGGATGGGCTGTATATTGCAATGAAAGGCATTGCTTGTCCATTGTGCATGATTATGGTGTGGTCACTGGCGATGCCCTGTTCAAGTACATTTGCTGACTTCACGCATTTATTTAGCAGATGGCCAGAGATGGCATTACTGCTGACAGCTCGGAGGATCTTAGAGTGCTGTTGGATATATCAAATGCAAGGATTATTATTATATCACTTTTTTTTAATGTATCATTCCTAAAGCGCTGGCACAGGGAACAACAAGGTATGCTAAACTCTGCATCAGATTTATATATTATCTGCAACAAATGAGCGAAAAATTCCCACACACTCTCACCATATTGGTATTTGGTGGTGATACAAAGAGCCTTTCAAGAGAAGTAGGCCTCAGATTTCAAATCCATATCTGATTAAGTAATTCTGAACATGCTCCACGATGGCTCAAAGATGACTTCCATGATCTACGCCAAATGAAGACGCGAATGGGTTTATTGTTATTATAGCACTCTGTCATCTTTTATCTTCATTTTCCGATGCAAATTAGCTGCACCATTAATCACTGGCAATTCAGCACAGTCAATGTGCCTGTTTTGAAGCTGGAATCAGAGCAGGCAGCTGCGCATTGTATATCAGTAAGATCAGGAATTTTGCTATGGAGCAACATTTCTGATGTGCTGAAGAACAAAATAGTGTAAGCGTCAGATGCCAAAGAAAAAAAACTATTTTTTAAAAAAAATTCTTTGCTAGGATGAATAAAATCTCATTTTCAGAGATTAGACAATTGAATAATGATGAAATCCTGTTTCATGCATCTGCTTTAAGCAGATCTATTTGTTTTGTTTTACTTATTTCTATAAAATCTGAATGCTAGGTTAAAAGGCACATCTAAAATATCAAGCTCAGTTGAGCTATTTCGGGAACAAATCTTAAAGTGGAGCTGGCAATTTTTAAAAATATAATGACAGCGGGAACACCTATTGGCTTGTTAGAATATTACCATCATAATAAAATTCCAGTCAATGTTCTGGCATTTACTGAAAGCGAGAAAGAGTAGGCAAGCAATTAAATAATTCAACTCAGGTATTAGCATAATGCATCTTGTATGTCATAACATAATGTGTTTTCTGAGGTTGATAATGGCACCATAAACCACTAAAAGTTAGGAGATACTGCTGGATAAATTAACACATAAGCTGAGTAATGGACTATCAAATTATTTGATGGAATCTGGGATGTTGCAAACTATTAAAAAGTGATCAATGGATTGTCTACTTCTCAGAAGAAGTGAAACTAGTTTTTCTTCTCCTTCGTTTTAGATCTGTGACAAAGAATGGCATCACTATGTTGTTGATGTTGAATTTCCCTTGGTGACGTTATATGTGGATGGGGTGGTATACGATCCATACCTGGTTACAGATGATTGGCCAATCCACCCATCGCACATTGACATGCAACTAACTGTTGGGGCCTGTTGGCAAGGTAAGTACTCAAACAGTGGCAGATGATGGATAGTGTGAGATTGCATTGACTGTATGGCTTTACTCTTAAGAAATTTGGACTGGATTAAAAGGGCCATTGCTTGCACCAAACTAAATGCATTGTAGAAATAGGAACAAACTATTGACTTAATAATAAGATAGCTTTACATCTTAGAATAGGCCCTTACACATCCGATCTTCAAGGTCACATGGTACTTCCTACCTTTTCTGGCAGGATCTCTTCGTTACAAAGGCTTCTTTCAAAAACTAACATCTGTAACTGGTTATAAGGGAGCTGCTACAGTTCTGGTGATTCACTGCACCCTCCTGTACAATGAATTACGCTAAAAAAAATGGTTATCTCTAGCATGATATGACACTCGCTACATCTCACAGAATGTATGCAAGGCATCAAACCACCTCACATACTAAGACAGCTCGGCTGGAGGGTCAAGTATTTCTCTGCTTCCAAGAGGTGAGTGGCCTCAGTTGATTTCATGTCGATTTTATTTTTATATTTTGGATGACATTTGAATTAACTGAGGTGCTATTGTTTTATACCTCGAGTCAGTATTCCCTGGTCAGTTTTGAGATGAAGCTTCCTGTTCTCTAACCCGCAATCTCCTTTCACTGGAAAACCTAGGAAGAGCGTTTCTAATTCACGATCTTATCCTTATAGCCCGTCTACATCTTATGCTGTGAATGCGTGCTGAGGCTGGTCAAACTCATTTCACTCAAGACTCAGAAGAGAAGGAACTGAAAATGACCGCAATATATTCAATAAACTAGACAAAGGTGTTCTGCGAGGCTAATTATTTTGTGTGTATCATTGACATAATCTTTAGCTGAAAATAAAGGTTACCGTTCAATGTAGGATTGCCACCAGTCCTATTCTGCTTATGCTGGGAATGGTGAGCTGAATATTGCATTTCCACCAGCACCGTTGGGTCAAGGAGATCCAGCATGAGTTGGGACATAAATCAGTGGTCAATATGAATATATTGTAATAATTTTGTCTCGAAGATGTGATAAGGCTCTACATCAAATACAAGGATTATTATTAATTATAATAAAGAGATGTGGAGCAAGTTAACACCTAGCGTAGTCAGACCACTGAGTTCCTTTCTAGTTTTATTAGAAGTGACAGTTGAGATATTCGGAGTGCGTGCATTTTCCTTTTGCAAATGTACACTACCAATTGCGTTTGTCACATTTGCAAAGAATTCTTTTTCTCTTCCTTTCACCTAAACTAATTGGCTAAATGAGTGCTGCAAAGGTTTTTTTTGCAGTAGCATTAGCTTGTTAATTAACGTGCAATTAGACCTCCTATCTGATATCTGTCTGTCACAAACAACAGGCTTTCTATTTTGGCAGAAACATGTGAACTCTTTGAATTTGTAAGTCAAGACTCTTCAGTTTTGAAGGTTAATGCTGCAGGAAAGCCAACCTGTTCTCTGCCCATTGTAACAGTGGGCGCTAAAGAATAGCTGTAGTGAATTATGAGGTAATTATCCAATCTATGCTTTTCACCCTTTGGAACAAAGATTGAAAAATTCATATTGTTCAGAAGATTGCGTTAAATTGACTTAGAAGAGGCTGTTATCTTTGTGCGATGCACCATGTAACAGTGTTCTCCTTTACATTTTTAGAAAGGAAGGGTTTTGTGACACCAGTTTTACCAATTTTAGTCTGGATGCAAGTGCTTATTATATTACGTACCAGGACCTTTATCTTTCTTCACATTAGATAAGCATCCATGATTCCTACAATTTTTTTTGAGTAATATGTACAGGATTTGTACAACCTTTTACATACTAAATACCTTGAGGTCCTACATATACATATATGCACACACAAGTGCACGCAAAGATAAGAAAACATACAAACAGTTTCTGAATCACGTATCCATTCTATTGTTAGGCATCACAAGGTGCATTTTGCAATTTATAATATAACTTAGACGTGTAATTATAATTTGTTGAGAGCGTCTTTGTTTGGATTCTGTTTTTTTTAAGCAAATGAATATTAGTTTCACAGTACGATAGAAGATGGCTGTGCATCTTCTTTTTGCGTACCGGACAAACAACAAATGTTGGAAATGCAGAGCAGGGCAAACAGTATCCCAAAAAAAATATTCAAGTTTCATGTGTGATTTTCAATCCACTTTTTTCCTGTTTCTTCAGAATATGAAACCACTGCATGTGGCAATACAATTAATTTTTCTCAACACCTCAGATTAGTTTTTTTTAAATACTGGAATGCAACTATTTCTTACTGTGAAAGACTTCTTTGCTTTTCCAATTGCACAGTACAATTTCCTGGCAAGCAGGATGCCCAGGAGAATCATTCTATTTTTTTGGATCTGTGTCTGAGCCATCTTAAAATCTCCCAGGATACGAACAGAGGCATTAATGCTGGAAGGTTTTTCTCAGGAATCCTGCAACAACTACTGAATGTTCCGAACCCATGAGGAATTGCAATGTATATATAGCAGTGATTTCCTTTCTCCCCGTTATACCTTCACCTGGTCAGACTGCAGGTTTTTTGATAATCCGATGAAAGGTATAGCTTAAAAACCTATTCATTGTGTATGGATTTGAGCCAGGTATTCCTTAAGATCATGTATAGGCTGGTAATTGAATGTTGGGATCTTTCCTTCTGTTTTGCTCGGTTTTACTTGGCTGTGAAGTTGTTTAAGGTACTTATACTTACTGTACAAAATGTAATGTACTATACAAAATGGCCAACGGCCTCAGACACATAAAACCTGCAGATAGGCATGGGAACTGTGTGAAAGCACTGCCTTCAGAGAAGGTGAGATAGTATTGAAAGGGTGAGAAAATCTTCTTCTTTGAAATAACATGGACTTAAAAGCATTATTGATTCTGCTGAAACAACCCATCTCCAATGGGAAACCTGCCTCCATCAGTGGATATAATTTAACTTGGAGAGGATATTAATTTTGATGCTTCGAGAAGGTGATTGATGGAAGATACCCCTGCAGTTGCTCATTTCCATTATTCTATTTCTGCAATGATCCCATGCTCCGCATTACTGTGAGAGGAGCACAGAAAAGAATCGAGTGACATAATTAAAAACTGTGCACCTGTGACAAAAGAGGTGTAAAATGATAGGTTTATTCTGGGTCCGTATTACCAACAGAACATGCAGAATACAATTAAATCAGAGACGATTCTCTCTTGCTCTTGCTGTCTATCTCTATCTAATGTATATTTACATAGACATACAGTTATTGATTGGTTGTTAATTAAAAAGTGGCACTCATGCAAGAATAGTGCACTTGCAGTCAGAAACAATGAGTCTATCAATGTGAGACCCGGATAGATAATGATCCTTGATGCAGTCTGTTACTGTCACAAGTGCCATAAGTAGAGAATTTTTCCATTAGATTTTATCGTACTTATTAGCGGAAAACTGTGGCTTGAATTATATGACTGCTTATATCTTGTATTCAATCGGTTTACTGAAGCAGGTGGCGATGTGGTTGCTGCAGTTGGCTGATAGTAGCAGATAACAATATTGTTAAAGTTCTTTGAGAGCAGCTATAAATGAATACAAAGTGCAAACTGTAGATAAACCAATTTTATTACTTTTGGGGGATTTTTAAAGTTTAGAGATAAGCTTCAATTGCTCGGCTACATGCCTACTTGAAATAAGCAGGATGCCCTTTTCTGAGGGTACCTGCTGGTAATCTTGTATAAATGGTTTCTTCTTCAATCATGAACAATATATAAAATAGCTGAAGTTGGCTCCTGCTCGTTTTAAATTTTGTACCTACACGATTTGTTCAACAATGCGCAAGTATAATAGTTCCAGTGAGGGAGACAATGACACACATAGTTTCCTCCTGTGCATGTTAATTTCTATGATTTGTATGTGATCTCATAACGGCATCTGATTTGCAATATTCCAAAAATGGATGGGAAGTGCTAAACTGGAACAAGCTTTGTGAGCTGTGCCACAATGTGTAAGTACAGACGTTGTTTCGCACGTCGTAAAATGACCCTGTAGATTAAATAGCTCAGTACTGCTGAGGTATCTAGATAGAAACAATCAGTATCCCATGTGACACCAGGGGGCAAATCCAATCACCCTCCAAGCTTACAATGATCCTGGTTTAAATCTAAATATAAACAAGATAAGGAACACAAAATTGTTCCACTTCCACTGTACACCTTGAGTTTACAACAGGGAGTATGTCAATATTAAGTAATCCTGATGAGGGTAAAAAGTGGCAGCCCTATTATTCCCGACTGTGTGTTCTCATCAATGCCATTTAGGAAAAGTCTTACAGATCCTTCCTTTGAGAACACCCTGCTCGTTATTGCAGTTGCCAAGCATAATGGTTCCACTGAGGGATGGACTCCTATCTGTGTGATTTCACATTCATCGAGTCAGTTAGGCATACATAATCTGTGCTAATGGACATAACCTTGCTTGTTTTGGTCTTTTGCCTACTGATGCCATCTAGTGTGTGCTTCAGCAAAGACTGACCGAGTACCGAACAGTGTCATAGGAATACAGGGAACAATTAATTATATTCCAAACAATGAAATGGTACTTTGTCCAACATCATTCAGATAAAAGAATTTGGCTATAATATTTTTTAATTCTCAATATCAACATGAGATGAGTGCATGGAAGCAGCCATTATAACCTTTACCATCTTATTTGGCTTCTGAAGGGATAATATGCGCATAATAAGAGTAAGGCACATCACGTGATATAAGAAGAACAGGGACAGTCGATTTTGGCCCTAATACTACAATAATGTTATAGTTTATTTTATAACATTAATTATGTGTGATTTATATCGTCGAGCCTAACACAGTATTTTACTTAGCAATGTAATAAGATATATAACTATCTACATTTCTGGTAAATATATAATCAGTATGAGCAAAACATTTTAATCTAAGGACATCATTAGCTTTACTAAATACCTGCACATCTGGTAATGCCGACACTGATGTAAGAAGGGATCCTTTCCCGTATTGCTTCAAGAGCTTAAACTGGTTCATTGCATTGTAAAAATTGCTTTTAGCTCATGTCTAATTAGACCAAAAATCCTTTTTTTGTTGTAATGAGGAACAGCATGTGAGATCATGGGAGGTTTACCATGCAACTAATTATGACTTTCTGATCCAAAGATCTTATTATAAAGTGTCAGCCTGTCTCAATTGGTGGTACTTTTGCCTCTGAATCAGATGGTTGTGGTTCCAAGACCCCTATCAGGTTATTGAGCTCATAGTCTAGGCTGTCACTTAAGTGTAGTGTAGCGGAAGCGCTGAATTGTTGGAGATGCATTCCTTTGGATGAGAGATTTAACTCACTCGCCCTGATAAAATTGGTCACTGACTTCACGTTGCTTGTGTGACATTAAGGTGCACAAATTGGTTACCACATTTGCCTACAGATGCACAATTACTACATGTTGCAGTATACGTATGAAGTGCTTTGAGACAAATGAATGTATTAAAAACAAAAGTACCGCAGGTGCTGTAAACCTGAAATAAAAGCAGAGGTCACTGGGAACACGCAGCAGGTCAGGCAGCATCTATGGCGAGAGCAAAATTAGTTAAACGTTTCAGGTCTATGACTGTTCATAAGAATTAATCAATTTATTACCTTTTAGGTGGCGAGATCGTGAAGCCTCGATTTGCCCAGTTTTTTCACGGTAGTCTTGCTGGCTTGTCTATTCGACCGGGCAAGATTGAGAGCCAGAAAGTTATCTCCTGTCTGCAGGCCTGCAAGGAGGGCCTAGATATAAATTCTTTGGAGACACTTGGCAAGGAAATAAAGGTGAGAGATTGCATGGGTTCAGATCTGTACTGATGAAAAATGTACTAATGATTTATCAATGGCCGCTAAATGTTGATTAACACATGGAAAGACTTTCATAGACATGAATGAGGTCAGAACAGAACTGAAAATATTTATGTTTCATTACTTTTTAATGCCAAATAATTAGATCTTATATTTATAATTTCATTGGTTGATCTTTCCAAAAATGCCTAACAAGCAATCTTAATATATTTATTTTATCCTCCTAAACAAATTATTTGATTTAACTATACAAGGAAAGCACAATATATTTTGTGCTCTAAGATCAAGTGATTCTCTGTGTTAATGTTCTGCTTGCTGTTTCCCAGTTTCACTTCAATCCAGCTCAGTCAATTGTGGTGATGGAAGGAGAAGACATTGACATTATAAATCGAGCAATGCAGCAGGTAGCATACATCAACTCAAGACAGTTTCCAACACCTGGCATTCGACGCTACAAAATTTCAACTGTAGCCCAGTGAGTTACCCATAAACTGTATTGTTCGCCGAGTGACTTGGTCAACAATCCCCCAAATACAATTGTCCATTTACTTTGTGGCTGGTTATAGGATATTGATGTGCGCATGTTAGCTGCTGTGTTCGCCTTTTACGGAATTGTTTTAGGGTATGATCAGTTGGATTCCAACTAGCGGGTGGTGATAATTTTCTTTTTGATCTCTCCAGGTGTTTTGGTGAGGACAATTGCATCAGCATCGCAGACATAGATGCGTACATTGTTGTTCTTCAGCCTGTTGAACCCAAGATTACAGTGAGTGGATTGGACCATTTCTCGAGACCGGCCTCGGAGTTTGAAAGCACCAGAGGTGTCCTGCTGTTCCCAGGCCTCAGGATCATCAGCACAGTTAAAAAAGAGCCGCAGTCTGAAAGAAGGCTCCACACAGGGGCCAAAGGTTTGTCAGTTTTTGAGGTTTATCCCAAGAATTGAGCGAAGCAAATGAAAAGAAGCACTTTTCAAGTGAAAACAAATGGGAGAAAGTCAGTGAAACAGAAAGGCTTTGAGGCATCAATGAAACACTACCTGTTCCCAACAACCACCAATTGCCTATTCCTTTAAAATATAATCCCTTATCCTCGTGGTGATATTTTTTTCTAGGTTTCCTTGCTCTTAATTCATCCAAAGGGTATTTAGTGTCGGGATTAATCCTCTGTGCAAACCAAACATTTGAACCAGAAAGCTGTTGAAGCTGAATCACTGGGGATGAGAGATAAATAGATAGATCCTTGGGGAGTCGTAGCATTAAATATTACGGCAAAAAGGGTGGCATTTTCTTCGCCTCTAAACTACTCACATTCTCTTTAACACCATGCATCCTCCTCCATGTGATCGACTCGTGTAACCATTAGCTCATATTTTATGTCCCAGCCTAGAGGAGATCTGGCAGAGCATCTAGCGGAAATCAACCTGTTGGAAAGCATCAAAGATACTCGGATTCCGAACCTCTGCATGAACTTTACTGTCTGAGTTGTGACTTTTTTGTTCTTTTAACAACTACTGACTTCCAAGGAGAAATTATTTGCTTAGAAATTCCAAATCTCTATTTGGGCTCATTAATATCTTTCTTATTTTTCTGGAAAAAAATTGTTTTGCAGTCCGTCAACCATCTGCTGCAGAAGAAATTGTTCACAACTTGGATTACTGTGATATTTTGATAATTGGGGATGAATTGAATTCCGAACAGGAGTGCCTGGAACTGGAATCGACTGAGCTTCATGGGAAGCATCTGGAATTCACAAATTCCACCGCAGGAATGTCCATTTATGGTAATAACCTTTTGTTTTGCCGAGTTTCGTTATTTATTTGAACAACATTGAGAATCTCGCTAATTAATTTTTGCAGAATTAAATGTACGGCATTCTCCATGTTAAAAAAAAGGACTTTAATCAGTGTGCAACAGCATACGCATCACATACAAATGCACATTACATTGTATGGCATGTCATAATATCCTTACACGTAACAATAACATCAACAACTTGATTTATATAGCTCCCCTCATGCAATGTAGCGTCCTAAAGTGCTTACAACAAACGTGAGCCCACAATATACATAGTTGCTACACTTCACAGTATATCCTTTGAAGCTCTTTGAATCATCCTCCTTATTATTATTAAACATGCAATGATTATTCAATGGCTGAATATGTTTAGCTGGAGGATGAACATCAATTATTCAACGAGCCCTGTGCAGCTGCAGGACTACTGTGGATCCTGTTCAGAAGGACAGGATTTGGAATGCCCTTCCTTCCAACATAGTGCTCCGTTTTTGTCCTCATTGCTTTATGTTTTAATCAGCTTTTGCTTTACAGTTTATTTCAACATTGAAGAATAGGATGTAATTTTTCAAGTATTGAGCTGCTCAATCAATTCAAAAAAAAATCAATGAGCATTTTTAGTTGAAGGGCGATTTTCACTTTGTCAAGACTGTCTCCTGTGTCGTGAGACTGATTCTGTGTTTTGCCTCAGGTGTGGATTCCATGGGAAACTATGAACACGTGCTTCGCAAAGTGAGGTATCGCAACTGGCACACTGCCTCCATTTTCGGGCGGAAGTTCAGGCTAACGTGCTCAGAGCTCAATGGTCGCTACACAAGCAATGAATTTAGCTTAGAGGTGAGAAAAAAGTCAAATGGGTTACATACATATTAACCTTGCTGATATGGATTAAAGCTGCATGGAAGAGTTGCTTAATACAAGTGTTGTATGTAATTTACTTAGACAGCAATAAAGCACTTAGAAGCTAGTTGGCACAAGTGCCGTGAAAATTGATTTAATTTGGCAAGGTAATATTGACCACCTTGGTTTCCTCTGTCTAGGTGAATGTTCTCCACAACATTAATCTCATGGACCACGCTAATCATGTGGTTGTTCAGCCCCAGTTCCTCCAGTCTATCCATCATTCGCTACCTGGTCTCACAGGTCATAACCTTAACGCTGCACATAACTCAGGTAACCAAATCATATTCTTCAGGAAAAGGCGTGCAAAGCATTAGAATGACACCATGTTTATTTTAAATATTAATATTGTACAGCCAAAAATGCAGAGTTGTGAATTTTTCAGCACAATGGATACTGACTAGGAATGAATATTCAGAGTAATTGACTTTTTAAATTGTGGATTTTGAGCTTTACAATCTCAGATGATTCTGTTCCAATCCCACGGTAGTAGAACTGGTTGCAACTGTGTGAACAGTCTCTCAAGCTCGGAATAATAAATATAGAGAACTAGTCTGTGCCAAACAGGGAAATTGGATGTATAAATCCACTAGACTCAGCAAACTAAAGAAAACTGCATTTCATGATGACAGGGTGTACACTAGACAAGTGTGAAAGTCAAAACAATTTTGAAGACATTCAAGGAAGGCTTCAAAATATTCTCATTGTCAGGAATCAAACTTGGGACGGCATGAGCAGAGTTTATAATTTGTACTAGTTTACTATATGGCAATGGTCTTCAGTAAATTATATTGCAAAGAATATTGAAGCCTTGAATTGTCTAAGCAATATTCAATTTCCCCTTTCCTTCCCCTCAAAAAACATTTAAATTGAAGACAGCTAACCTTTACCTGCCTTACAAAACTACTAGTTAGGTATAGGTGTAGGGCTATTGCGAATTTCATCCCCAGATTCTATACTTTTTGCTGATTATCAGATTAGATGTATTACAATGTCTATATGAAATACCGTATGATAAAAAAAGAATATTAATTCCTGTCCCGATTTGTGAGTGAGAACTGTTGTGAATGCTATTCCCTTGTGCTGGCAATGCTGTGAAATAATGCAGAGCTGAATTTATGTTTTTGTACTTTCAAAAATGTAACAACAATTCTTTCAGAAGCACTGGTGCAATTTCATGAAAGAAATCCCAAATTATCAAAGTTATCTGGCTGTACGTCACTCTAATGAAAGCACTACAATTGAAAATTGGAATTTATGTTTCAATGTATTGTGAGATTTAGGACAGCAGAACATGGCTCTAATTTACTTCATATTATTTAGACTTGGATAACTTCCTGTCTACCATAAGTCTTTCATATCAGAAACTTAGTATAGTTATGTTGTCATTTCAAATCACTGCAGTCTTTGCCTGTCCTATTTTTCTCTAGGAGCACGCTATTTAGAAAAAATATAACGTTCTTTCCATTCAATCCAAAACAACTGCCCTTTTCAAAAGGTATTCAAATTATGTTGCGCTGTGGATTTTGTTATCTGTAGCCTGGATTGCCTCATAAAGTAGAGAAATGGTTTCCTCATGTATGAAATCGATCTGTTTTCTGTAATTGTCACTGTGAGGAATGGATGGCAGATGTTAATTTATGTTCACTTTTCTTCCCCAACTTTGAGTGGATGAAGCAGTTAGGGATCGTCTTTAGTTAAATCATATTGCAAGAAGATTTCCCTGCCCATATGGCATAAGAGTTACAGAATAATCTTAGTTGATGTAATCTTCAGTTCCAGCCCTGGAGAATTTTATAGGCCAACATTTTTTTTGTCTGTATCCAGCTCCCATTACATCTCTGCCTGAACCTTGACTTCCAGCTGAATGCTTTAACTCAGAGTACAATGTAAAGTACCCTTTTGTCTTGCAGCATTGAATGAAGGGAAAGACACCACTTCTTTTGAAGTGGTTGTAAGCCAGTGCTCCAGGGAAGAATCCATCACTGTCCACTTCCTCATTCTCTCATCTGGCCCATGTTCAAGCCACTGCCACTTTGTGTGACATTGTATTGTTTCCAAAAATCTGTATTGCCAATCTGAGACTAAGTGATGCTATTTTTACCTTCTAATGGGAATAAAGATTTCAGTCCTTGCGCCATCAATTCCAAACGCTTTAAAATAGATAACGCTGCCTGGTAGCAAGATCTTATTATCTCACTGATATGTATTGTATATAACTCTTTGTGTTCTTTTTTTGTAGTTATTCCAAGTGCTGCCACTATTGTCATTGTAGTGTGCATTAGTTTCCTGCTCTTCATCATTGTTCTGGGAGTCTTTAGGATTCGAACAGCCCACCAGCGCTCCAGTCGAGAAAATGAGGGTGGGAAAGACAGCGAGATGGACTGGGACGACTCTGCCCTGACTATTACTGTTAACCCCATGGAGGTAGAGTATAGTGAAACGATAAGTCAGACTGTTTGAGCATTTCTGATTCAGGAAATGTGGAAATATTTCAGTTTTAAGAATATCCAAAGCTTAGTGATTTACTTTTACTGCAAGCAATGAAAGAATGTGGTGGTATTAATAATAATCCTTGCATTTGATATAGAGACTTATCACGTCTTCGAGACGCCTCAAAGCGCTTCACAGAATAGACCGTGAAGTGAATTGACTGTATATTTTGTGGGCAAATGCATATGTGTTTGCTCATTTGAAAATCTTATCAGGAATTCTATTAATCTCTGAACCTTTAAGTCAGTGGAAGATCCCATATCTCATTGGGAAGGATTCGCAGCCTCTCATTCCTGATAAGGAACTTTATCAGATGCAAAGATTATTTATATTATAAAAGTATTAAGACAAAAGGTGTGAATAAATGTTGATGCACTGAATATTTTAACAAGTCCCACTGGAACATGCACTGCTTATCTCAGTGCCTTGGGACGTCCTCCTGACATGAAGGGTGCTATACAAATATAATTTGTTGTCGTTGGTTCTTGTGTGCTTAGAACTACGAAGACCAAGAACACAGTGAGCAGGAAAGCGAGGAGGAGGAGGAGGAAGAGGAAGAGGGAGAGGAGGATGATATCACAAGTGCTGATTCTGAGGATAGTGAAGACGAGGAGGAAGCTGATCATGAAGAGGATCAGCAAAATGTAACCCGGAGAGAACAGCTTGAGTGGGATGATTCAACACTCCCTTATTAAGCAGCCACTCAGCCCGAGGGCTTTCAGAATAGATTTTGGTGTCCAGCAATGCTTGGAATGTGATATGATTGGAATTTATTTAAATTTCTGTTGCTGGTAATGTGTGAGGAACTTTCAAGGTTTTTTTTCTGGAAAGTTAAGAGAGTCAGTGATGTTTCATCACCTGGGTCCAAAAATTGACATTAAATAGTTATAATGCCCGTCTTTCTTCTATCATTTCTGGATGTTCCTTTTGTGGTTACCTGAATGTTTTATCTTCGCACCAAGAACTGTTAACTTTGTGAATTCATGTACTGGTACCTGTAACTGAAACATTTTCTGAAGTACTTTTATTTATTTATAATAATGACAACAAAAAAAGAAGTAATTTCTATCTCCGTCGAGTCAGGCCTGACCTGGAGCATAACGAAAACAGATTAAAACGAGAAGTTAAACATTTATATTTGGTTATGTAAATACCATATTTAAAAAAAGAAAGGTTGCACTTGTTAAACAATGTCTTTACTGGGGATAAACTGTTGAACGAAAGGAACATGAAGTTCTGTGGTAATTGCTTTCCGTAACTCATGTTTGTACAAGGTCTCAAAATCCACAAACTGTTTATGCTGTTGAGATATCTATAGAATTTAAAGCCAAACAAGTATTGTTCAGATTAAAGATACAAATATATTTTACTTGTTTAACTGGGGCACCATCTTCAATGAAAAAGTGTTTTCTGTACCTTTTTTTAATTAGACAACTAATGTGAGTCATTTTCAACGCAGGTGATGTAATGGTGTGGTTGTCAACACATGAACTTTCGAACTAGGAGCGGTTTGAGATACACTTTCTGAATGAAGATGGCACCTCTCTAAGTTTTCAAAAGAAGAGAATTAAAGTGGAATATGCATTTATAACGTGTAGCTATTCCGTAAGGGTCACACTGACAAAATGAGTCTCGTGCAACGGGCCCTGGTTATATGATGATGTGATATAACATGAAATGCAGTGGATGCAGCTTTATTTCATGTCGGATTTTTATAGCCTACAAACTGGGGTGCAATTTAGAGGATTTGTTAGCTGCCCACAGATATGGCTTTTACATCCCATACCAGATAACAGGTATCAGTGGGTAATGGTTTTATAGCTTTCATCATGTTGCATGAGTATCATGCTAGGCTTCACAGTCTTTGGAGAGTCCCTTTTCTGATAAGTTTTTTTTAAAAAACTACATGCTATTTATTGTATCGAGTAACATTTGAATTAAATTGAGTTCAGGCAAGATTAATAAATCCTCGTAACTGATGTCTGAAATATATGTGGTGCCATCCCTGTAATTTATTTTCATTCACTGTATTAACTAAGAGTCTTACGTATCATTGCAGTGAAGCTTTTTTAAAACAAATAATTACGGAAAATGTGAGCCACTTTGATGGAAAACACATCACCCAGTGGAGTCTTAAACACTGGGTGACTCTCAGTTGGAGGGAGGTGTGGGGGAGGGGAGAGAGAAAATTAGCTGGAGTACCCAGTCTTGACCATTATTGAGAGAATATCTACTGGAAGGTTCATGTCTGTGTTCAGGATTGGGCTTTGCTCTGATGTTCCCTGCTGTCGTATAGTCTGCCAATACCTACTGTTCAGGCTGACACATGAATAATGGCCACTTGGACAACCTACCAGTGGGCATCAATAAAAAGGTCAAAAGCATCTTCAAGAGAGGAAAGCAGCAAATTGGAAGAGAAAAATTGGTAAAAATAAGTTTAAAATCTAAGAAATTGTAACATGAGGAATATTTTTAAGTCTGCCAAAATTACAGTAAATCTAACAAAAAAATTGCGACAGAATTACAATTTTAATTGTATTAACTAAGAGTTAACAATTTTAGTTCTAAATATGGACTCAAGGATTTGAAGGCTAAAAGTCAAAGTTGTTTCCTGGACGTTGACCACAAACAGTCCTGTTATTATTTAATGTTTCATTTATCAATATAAAAAAATAAAGTATGTACAGAAAAGGTATGTATTTACCATGATGTCCATAGCTGTGAATTAGGAATGCAATTAATTTCACCATGCACTTGCGAAACCACATTTGAGAATCATGACAAATTGTTCTGGAACACCCTTAAAGTTTTCACCAGGAGTTTCCTTTTCTCATGACAGGAACCCCAGTCACTCTTCGGGTGTAACGCTTACATTCCCAGAGAGTGTTAACTCTACGAAGGTTTGATGAGTTACAAAATGGCACACTGGGTAGCAAAGGTCAGAATTCCTTCTTTCTTTCTAGCCTGCCATTCAGTTAGTCTGCCATCACAATCCCTGCAATGCTGAAATGATGCTGGTCCAGGTTTCACCAAGAATAGCTTCCAAATAGCTTCCAATTCTTCACAGCTGTTTGAGCAGAATAACCCTGACTGCAGAAAAATGAACAACTAATCAAAATTGACTTTTAGATCTGGACATTAACCTTTGTTTGACTGGGGACACTGAACTGAAATCTATATACGTATATATGATATATTAAAAAAAGTCTCTAAATAGGTTGACTCGTGTTGTTCCATGGCTGATAGGTTTCCATTCTACTTTGGAATAGGAATAAGATTTACTGATTTGGTGATTACAAAAGGGACATTTGGAGCTGTATCTGTGTGTCATTGATGTTCGGTCAGTCTGAGTGGGTCTTGTATTCAGAGCTGTGTGTCTTCATGTAATTGCTCATCTAAACCCAAGTAACCCTGTGTTGATTGAGCATCAGATAAAACTAAAAGGCCATTCTTTTTAAATAAACAGTTTGGAGAAATTCTTTCAAGGCTACACTGAGCTAGTTTCCAGAACCGGTGTCTTCACTTGCAAGCAGTGCTAGGCTGCTCAATTCATCACATTGCCTTTTTATATCATGGCACAACTTATCTGTAATTTAGCATAAGTATTGCTGCCTAAGATAAAAGGGTCTTCAAATAAAATCAATGCTTCTGTTACTTTGCACATAATAATCCTTGAGTCATCAAACTAGATAGCATCAATCTTTATATCAGTCCTTGTACATTATGGAGAGGATTGCAAATCTTGGATGAAAATGCACAAAAAAAATTCTCTTAAGGAACACTCAAATGCGACAAAGAAGTCAAGTACCAAGTGAATAAATACAAATTGAGACACATGTACAGTGGCGTACATCATTTTCATTAAAACAGTGAAAGGGTAAGAGCGTTGTTAAGTGGACAGGAGCTTGTAATTGACTTAAATATTAAGGATGCTGGTTTGGGCTCTGGACCTGAAATTATGATGGAAATTCTAGTTTTAAAATGACTGTCATTTTGGGACTCACGACTTCAGATACCGAATGGAGTTCTGTGGCCTGGTAGAATAATTAACCAGGTTTAGAATGGCATGGAAAGATCATTCTTCATCGAAGACGAGGTGCAGGGCACATTATGTAAAGTTAATTGATGTACATGAGTGTTTATCATACTGTAGCTGTGCACAGGTTTCTCAAGACCCATGGGTACAAAAGATACAGGACATTTGACTGTTGTACTTGTGAGAATTGTTAAATAACTAATAGCTCATCAATTGGCATTACTTACCCTGCTCTCAAATATAGTGCTAAACCGGATATGAATTACTATTAGTTTACAGCAAATCCATTCAAGAGTCTGCTCTTATACTTGGTTTAAATTTGCTGTGAGCATCCCAGCAGTGTAGCGATCTCACTTGGGAAGATAGACTGGCTCCACATCGCTTTCAATGAAGAAGGGGAGAATTTCTTCATTTGATGTTCGGTGTGCAGGTACTTTGGTGTATGTCGTACCTTAGGACATTCATGCAACACTAAATTCGAGTATCATTTTTTTATAACATGGCTGGCTCTTTAATAGCTTTGAAAGTACACTGTTCACAGTTTCATTCCCAGGGCAATGGACCTCAAAAGAGTCTCAGTTGCTAATCAGTAGACTCCAGCACAAATGTCCTTATATTGGATAGCATTTGTTTTGGTCTATTATCAGTAAGTTTATTTTAATTCCTTCCATCATATCATATATTCTGTGGACGTATCCTTAATGCACTGCTATGAAAGAATGATGCAAGCACCATGATCAGTAACTATAGTGAACATAATCCTAGCAACAGCCCCTGAGAGCTGAAAAAGAAAAAAACACAAAGCAGATTTAGGTTACTTTTCAACTGATCAAATCCTAGTTGACCACACCAGTACTTCACTAAAACTTAATCAAATAATTGTTGCTCGTATGTAGACTACATGTATAAGGGGAAAAAAATAATGGTTTGATTAATGCTACTGTTATAACTTCAATCTTAAATCTTACTGGTATTGTAACTTGTCATTTTAATATTTTTTAAGCAGCTTAAGATTCGTCATCTTGTACAGTATAAAATGAATGCCTGTTATTGTAATGCTGCTTTTTTCTATGTCGAAATAAATCTGTGTAAACTTCTAGCTTGTCATCAGCTTTGCCTGCAAATATCAGTCCATCGATCTGATGGTGAATGTCTGCGATTGGCAGATATTATTCCCATGATTTTGTAAAATCCTTTAGGTGACAATCTATTGGTTGTAGTGTAAAATGACTACTATTCCAAAGAGGCTAACTAGTTTCTACAATACAACCAAGATAGCACAGTCGTAGTTGAAAAGAAAATGTAAAATACTTTTGAGTTTGAAATAAAAACATTTGCCCCAAGCTTGTATTATTCCAAGTCTCCTTTGTACCATGTTTTAAGGATGTTTGATGGACTGTTCCATTTTGGCTTGGTGTGTTACAGTTAAAATTGTAAAGGATTGAGGGATATGGGGATAGGGCGGGTAAATGGAATTAGGTTAGAAGATTAGCCATGATCTTATTAAATGGCGGGGCAGGCTCGAGGGGTCGAATGGCCTACCCCTGCTCCTACGTCTTATGGTCTTATGGTCTTAAAACTGTATTTTATTATTATTATTAATATCCTTGCATTTGATATAGAGCTTTTCAACAAGTATTCGAAAAGCCAAGCCTTTATAGTGTTGAGCAACGCATGAACCTAATAGCAGACGATACAAAAAAGTATGATGTTTCAAAAAAAAGTTAAAAAATCAAATTGCTATGTAATTACAGTCCACTTTGGGCCAATGAGCTCTTTTTCTGCAGATAAGAACTTAAAAGTTGAAAATGAGAAAAATTCAAATTGCTCATTCACCCAGTGCATTAATGAGGTGAAGTGAGATCTAATACTTACAGTAAATTACATTCTCTGCCATGCATTATTTTTGTCATAATCACTCTGGCTTCGATAGAATGAAAGGCAAATGAATGACATTTAAACGTTAAGCTCACATGGAAAGGTTGAGAAGCTATATATCATATATATATATAAGATATATATAATATAAAAACTGGAAGGTAGTAATACACCCAAAATGGTCCAGCTAACACCAGAATCTGAATTCAAGTGAATTATATTCATCATCTGAATGGTGAGCTGTAATTATTTTTAGTTCAACGACTGCTACCTTAGGTTATTCTGTCGAGTGCTAAATTTTCACATAGTGTTTCTTACCGTTCCAAGTGCTATGATTTCAGGCTGCGGCAAAAGGGGATAAAAAATGACCTAGAACTTGAAAAAACAGAATGGATTTTTGATTTGCGACCAAACACTTAGTAATAGTAATGTATTTAATCCTTGATATCAACCTGCAGTGTTACTACTATTTTTTTGTTTACAAAATTTCCGGGCTTCTATATAACACTTCTAGGCAGTTAGTAGTTGTGACATGACAGGATTGTCTCTCAGTGACTTGAGAGTGCAGAAATATATTTATATGAGTAATAGCAACAACCTAAGGCACTGCTACACTGCCAATTGTCTGCACAAAACCTGCTTGTGTTTATGAAACCTGACTGTTGGTCACCGTATTTTCTCAGAAATTGGCCATCCGGCCCAGAATAGCCCTCCACACTCACTTAATTTTACAAATCACCATTCAAACCTTAGAACCTGTAGCTTAACGTTTCTCTTTTGACATCTGCGTCAATGGGAGGAACATTGAAGAGGAAAAACATGTAGGTAACTGTAGTAGGTGCTGTTTGTGTCCAGCATTTTTCTGTGAAATACTAAACTGCAACACAGTCTTAAAATGATACCCTGGAGAGTAGCACAATAACCCTATTGAAACAAACTGGTTTATTGCTGCAATTATTTGACTGTAATTCATAAAACGCTGCAATGTATGTGTTTTGTTGAGTAGCAATGTGAAGTACATTTGTGTCTTGAAATCTGCCTAATTTATGCTATTGATTTTTATGGAATATTGGTTTTATTCTGTCATCATATTATCAGTTTAGCGGCCTGAATTTCAACGAATTATGAAGTTTTTCTTCTGCTAAATTCTAGTGGGATCTAAATTGGGGTATTTTTAACAGGATTTCTGAAAAAAAGAAGTTCCATTGACAACCCTTCTCTTGAAATCCACTAAGGAAGTACAGGTATATGCAAAGTGGAATTTCCATGGATCAGTGCGACAAACTTTTAAATTGCCAGAAGAGATTCCCATTTTCATGACTTTTGATTGTTTATTAAGGAATAAAATTAAGAAAGATCTTCAAATAAATCCCAATATCTTGGTAGCAATTCTGCATCATTCTCCATTCCCACATTTTCATTATTTTCAGCTATAACACATTTCGAGATGTTGTAAATAAATAGTCAAAGATGTCTTCAGCCTTTCAGGCCTATTACAATAAGTTACTGAACAATTTACAATTGTGCGGATTAGTTGTCTACTGAATATTGCACGGTAAATGAAAGATACAAAGTCTATCAGTAAGACGGGACATTTGGAATTGCAGCTTTTATTCAACAATTTATTGTGCTCAGCATAAAATTTAAGTTGGGCAATTTCAAAGTTAGTGGCTGTAGATATTTTGCCTGAGCTTTCCTTTTTTTGACACAGCTTTCAGAAGAGGTTAGCCTCATTCTAGCTCAGAATATGCTTAGTCCCTCTGCAACTGACTCTCCCTGCTTTATCAGATGAAGAGAGTTTCACCATCCAAAGGACTTCAGTCTCTGGAAAAGCTTAAATGAGTCTCATATGGGTGCAGTTTTGAATTTAAATAGTGTAGATACAAATAATCATGAGTGATATTCTTTTTGTCCTGAGCTTTATGTTTGAACATGTGGCAAAGCTGATAGCATTGCAGGTCGCCGGCTTAAACGAGTTTTGCTACTTGACAGTTTGAGGGAACTAAACAGAGTACCACAAATATTTGAAATGAGTTAGTCATTGCACCACACAAGGTAAGTGTACATCTGTCTGATATAAATTCAGCTCAGTGACAACCTCATCAAAATTCCACATGTATATTCCAGTGAAGATTACTGGACAGCAATCAGGAACAGGTTTACTTCAATGATAACTATTTTTTAGACTAATTGATGCTCCATCTGTAATCAAGTAACGTAATCCAGATCAGGGATTGATCCCTAAATCTTCCAGGTGTTCATGGTTCATTATCACACCACTTATCACTCCATATAATCACTTTTCAGCGCCTTGGGACGTCCTCCCGATGTGAAAGGTACTTTACAAATGTAAGTTTGTTGTATTGGTGTTATACTCCCTGAGCTATCAGGAGAACTGGTAAAATCATTTGAACTGGCAAAAACAAATCCACATACATAGAATTGTTGGGCGTGGACTAAATTCACACAATTCTGTACAGTATATTCCAGAATTTAGCTGAACCAAAGAGGGAAAGAGCTATGTGGCGCTAAGGTGATTATCCAGGGAGGAGGAATGGAAATTAGTGATGAAAACAGCTTGCAGTATTTCTGTGGTATTTTATCTGCCAACTTTAAAATGGTGTTGTCAGAGGTCTAGGAATAATCTACCTACCATCTGTCAAGGATTTGGCTCTACAATGAAGGGAACCTCTGAAATGGTTTCGCACCTGAAGCTTTAGAAAGAAGGCAAAGGTACATGGAACTAATGGCAACTTCGCTGGTGGATTTGAAAATTGGCTTTGATTTAGAGGGAAGAATTAAATATTAAATGGGCATTCACAGTGATATGTGGAATTCAAATGGTTCGATTCTGGATCTCTTGCAGTTTACACCAATATTATTTGAACTGAAAAAGGCCCTGTTCTTCCAATATTATGTAAATTGTTATTTACCATCAAGCTGTGTAGCCAGGTGATCAAATGGATATTGATAGCGTTTAAATTAATTACATTTTAAGGAATGGATTTTGTTTCAAAAAAATTAAAAATATAAAGTGGTCCAAGTGAATGGATATCAATTTCCAAAGAGCGAATTGGAAAGGGATTGGTACATGGTTGGTGTCATGCACAGAAATAACGGCACTGAACTGAACAAGAAAGAAAATTGATAATTTGATTCAGATCGTTAAAATAGTGAAAGGCAGAGGTAATATGATTGTTATTTACCTTAACCTGTAACTACAGGAATGGAAAACTAGAGGGCGAGTGTATCAAATGATCATTAAACTTCTTTAGTCTGCAGAGTAGTAGCTATTGGCAACATAATCCATTGAAAAGTAGTCAATGCAGTGCAGTGTTCCTCTTTAATTCCTATAAAAAAGGAGCAGATTTATGGAATATGAAAATCATTGCTCAACCAGAATGTAAGGCAGTTCAAGGGAAGAATGTAAAATGTTTCAAATCTGCAAGGAAAATACAGTAATTGCTATATCAACATATTCACCTATTGACAAACAAAAAGTGCATGTCCATAATTTTGGACCATCTACTGAAATACTGTGCTCCCCGAATGAGATTATCCAGTCTCTGTCAATGCTGCAGGACCAACCCCAAAACAGTGAAATTCAATGGTTTCGGTTTGGTGTGTTTTCGGGCTTTAAAGGTTCCAAAATGAGTGGTGGTAAAGCTACAGCAGCCTCCAGTGGTGGAAATGATTTGTGCAACTTATTTGTCCCTTTTTGGATTCCACTCGTTTATTGAAAAATTGTCTGGGGTCTACCACCGAGCAGATAATATGATACATCATATCTTAACAGACGAGCACGCAACTTTAGGCTAAAACCTTTTGACTTCATCTGGGTAAAGGCAGAAGGTGGTTGTGAGTTTCAGAAAATTTAAAAAAGGTTTGGAAGTGATAAGAAAAATTAAGATTTGGTGATGAGGATCTGAGGGTAATTCATGAACATAATTTAACTTGAGATGAGGGGGACCTGGGGTCAATCTGTGTAACTTCTGAAACTAAAGAAGTAATTAGTTCTACCAAATTGTTAGTAAATAGTTCTACCACCATTGTTATTAACCACCATTGCATAAAGGAAGAAATAATAATTTACAATTATTTCAAAAAGAGAAATGAATGGTATTGTTACCAGCTGAAGAAACTTTAAAGTTCAACATAGTTTAAGCAGTAATTACTTCACACCGATGTGGAATTGATTGAAACCACCACTTAGCTCTATTGAATGCAGATCTCATTGAATGCATTCAAACAATGAAGTGACATGGATCTGTCACCAAAGCAAGAAGAGTTGAAAATACTTTGAATGGATTCTACACGAGACCCTGAATAACCAGTTAAACTTGAGGACCTGAATGTCATTTTGTTGCTTGTTTATTTACCTAAGGCCTTACACTGAAATACTCCACTTCTTTTTCCTCTTCCTTTCTCCCCCAAAGTCCTTTTAAAATAGGAATCTCAAC